CCGGCCCCGGGAGCCCCCGGCACGGCCCGGCCCGACCCCCGGCCGGGCAGCGAGAGCGGGGAGCGGGGGATTCGCGCACGGCGGGGAGGGCCCCGTGGGGCTGCCCGGTGCTGGGCCCGGCACCGGTTCCTCGCCATTGTCTGGAGCAGGAGCCGCGGGCAGGGGCGCCCGGGGGGACGGGGGATGGGGAGAGGATCGGGGCGCCCACAGCTCGGCCCTGCTCCCGACCGGTGCCGCTCCCGGKATCCCGGCAGCGGGCGATCCCGCTGCCCGGCGGAGCGAGGCCTGAGGCCGCGGGGGCACCGAGCATCCCTCGCCGGTCCCGCTACCTTCGGTCCCCCAAAGCTCCTGGGCTGCCGCATCCCTGGGGGGTCGGGGTGCGTCGGCCCGGGATTGCCCCGCCGGCCTGGGATTGCTGCTGAGTCGGGGAGGGGAGTGGCTSTCTCCGGTGGAGCCCCCGGCTCTGCCCTGCCCGCGCCCCAGTGCGGGGCACCCGGCGTCGGGGCCGGCTGGATCCAGGCCCGCCGCAGGGAGCATCTCCCACTGCCAGCCCACCCGCATCTCCCACCCCGCCCGGCTGCCGCGGGGCTGCTCGGGGCCATCTGCCCCGCGATTTTCTCTCCTTGTCCCCCGGGGTGCTTGTGCCGTGCGGGGTAATAATGCCGCTGTGCAGAGCCGGGGCGCTGGACAGTGTGGGGTGCTGGGTGCATGCTGTGCATGATGCTTTTGGTGGGGTGCGGAGAGGGGGGGCTACTGTGCGCCCACCATGCAGCCAGGGGCACCCACCACCCCTCCGGCGTACACCCACCACCCATCCGGGGGCTCCCACCTCCCAGCTGGGCTGCACCCACCGCCCAGCCGGGCAGACGCCGATATCTAACTAGATCCCTGCTCTCAGGACASGGCTGCTGGGGCCTGGGCAGCTCCATGTCCCCGCTATCCCCCCGGGATCCCCGGAGGGCCCCGCAGCCGCGCTGTCAGCCCAAGGGCGCTGTGGGCAAGCGCCGTGTGTGTTGCCGGCCAGGCGGCAGCTGTCAGCCCTGGGTACATCTCGCTTCCCGGCATCCGCTGCAAAGGAGCCGTCCCTGCCAAAGCTGCTGAGAGCAGCAGAATCGGTTCCCGGGAAGGCGAGTGCCGGTGCCGGCTCCCCCCACACACGCACCTCCAACGCTGATCCCGGCCAGGTAGCGATCCCCTGCCAACCCCATCCGTGGGGCTGMGCTCGCTCCATCGTCCCCAGCCGCTCCATCCCATTGTCGCTGGGGTGCCTGGCTCTCAGTGCCTGTGGGAGCAGCATCCCTTCTGCAGGGCCCGCTGCCGGGGTGTGGGATGAGGGGTGATGCTGGTGGACTGCATTGGGCGAGGTGATGGGGACAGTCCCACGGGGAGGAGGGTCCAGCCTGGCTGAGCCGCGGAGCTGCCTGACAGGACACTGTGCCAGAGCCTGGCCCTGGGCCGGTTCCGGGGAATGCCACGCTCTTGCCCGGCCGGGATCCCTCTGTTTAGTTTGGGATTCCCCTTGCTCCAGCCCAGTCCTGGAGGGTCCGAGCATCCCCTCCCCCTGCCCGGCCCCGCGAAGGCTGCTGGGGCCCATTACTCGATCGGAAAGGAATTTGGTGCTGCTTTCTGAGCACGCCGACTCCCTGGAGCTCCCAGCCACATTGGAAACACATGTGCCGAGGCTGGGGCGGGAGGCTGGGGCGATGTGACCCCTCCCTGGCCATGGCATGGGGGGTGGGCTGCTGCGGGAGCCCCGTTCCGGCACCCAGGGATGCTGCTCTGCCTACGCCGGTGAGCAGCGGGGCCATGCGAGGGCAGCGGGGCTTCTGTCTCTTTGGTGGGGTCATGAGGGATCCTCAGTGGAGCCCCTCGGCTGCAGGAAGCCCCCCCGGGCTGCACGGGGCACYTCCACCCACGGGTGACCCACATACCTGGAGCCCGGGGGTGGGAAAGGGCTGTGTGTGTTGGGTGGAGGGATTACAGCCCACGGAAGAGGGAGTAAGCAATGCATGATGCTGACAGCACCYGCTGTGACACAGCTGGTCCCCACTGTTGTGCTGTGGGTCCCTGGGGGCAYCCCTGGGGATGCTGCTGGCCCCAGCATGGCCCCCTATCCCTGGCACTGAAAGCCTCCATCGTGGCCTGGCRTCAGGCTGTGCTGCTGCTMTGTGTCCACAGCAAGCCCCATCTGCCCTGGGAGCATCCCTGGGTGCAGGCAGCAGCAGCCTTGTGCTCAGATAGCACCCAGCACGGCAGGGTTCTGGGGAAGAAAAGCAGGCAGCCCCCAGCACCCACCGGGCTCCCCAGGCAGTGATGCTGTGGCTCTGCCCTACTTCTTTCCTCCTGTCTGCTGCCGGCTGCATCCCACCCTTCCAGCTCCCAACCCGCCGCCCTGGGCTCCCCAAAACTGCTGCCATCCTCCCCCATTGCTGGGGGATCAGGGGCTGCATTTGCCATCGTTCTCCATCGCAGACGGCACTTTGCAGCTGTTCCAGGCCTGGAAGCTGGCGCCGGCTGGGGCGGCCGATTAGCGGGATCGGGATGTGCGGATTAAAGTCAATCTTGTTGGTGCAATTATCTGCGGCTCCCTGCCAGGGGCTCGGGGGGCGGCGGGTGCTGGAGGCAGAGGGAGGCCCTCTCCCTCTCAAGCACCTGCCTGCCTTCTCCCTGCCCTGTTTTGGGGGCAGCTCTGCTCACAGAGACCCTCAATTCCCGTTCCCCAGGCTGTGGGTTGAAGCTGCAGGCTCGAGCGAGGACGGCTTTGCCCAGCACAGCGGGGATTTTGGGGCTCTGAGAAGCGCCGTGCGGGCACCATCAGCCGAATGCTGATCGGCAGAGCCGCCCACCCGCGGCGGTGCAGGGATGTGGGGGATCCAGCACGGGCGGCCCCGGCTTTCCGGGTGCAGCGCGTGACGGTGGCGGGCAGGTTTGGGTGCCTGCCAGGCCCCGCAGGTCCCCGCTGCCTGCCTGCCTCCCCCGCTCCCCTCCACTAATCACCTCGTCATCGGGGCGAGCTGCATCCCAGCTGGGATGGGGGGGTTGCCATGGTGACGGAGGATGCTGGTTGCCTAGCGACATCCATCCCCTCGCCCACCCGCCCTGGACCAATTTGGCATGCGTGGTCCCCCCTCCATCGCTGGCTGTGTGCCCCTGGGGAGGTGCTGGCTGCTGGGGGGCCCCGCGGAGCCCCCGAGGGGGGCTGGCCAGGGCACGGTGGGAGCGGCAGGGGGTTTCCCATCAGCTGGGAATGGTTTCCAAGGAACAGTCTCCATGACGGCCCCATCACACTCCGGCGGCTCATTGATTTGCTGCTGCTGGTGCTCCRGCGTCCTCCCCCGGCCTGGTGCCTGCTGGGCTGGTGGCTCACGCAGCCRGGCACGTGAGCGGACCTGGGTCCCTACCGAGGGCACAGGGCTGTCCCCAGACCTGGTCAGTAGCTGGCMGGGTTGTGAGGGGACAGGGACGGGTGTGCAAGTTGCTGTGAGGCTGTGGTGGCTTGTGGTGTGGCAGTCAGTGGGTCCCTATGCCCAAATGACTGTTGTGGCCCCAAAATTGGGACCCTTCCCCATGGCTGCCAGCAAGGGTTAGGGAATAGGGCCTGCCCCACATCTCGTCTGCCTTGCCTGGCAGTCTGGCTGTGGCGCTGTTGATTGACATGGGGTTGGGGTGTCTGTGTGCTGGTTTGGGGACACTTAGCTGGACCCCAGGACATGCCCTGACCTCAGTGTGAGCAGGATGGGGAGCTGGGGGTGCTGCCCCCCACTCCTCCTGGCTTTGGCTCACCCTTGCTGTCTCCCCAGGGCTCTCTACACATACGAGGATGGCTCTGATGACYTGAAGCTGGCAGCATCGGGAGGTAAGGTCCTTTGTCCCCTCCACGGGCTCAGCTCCATTGGTGTTTCCCCTGCCACCCATTCCTGGTGCTGTGTGGACACGGGCTGATGGTGCTGTGCCAGGTGGAGGTTTGCTGGAGCTCTCCGGCCACTTTGAGATTCAGAAGGTGATGTATGGCTTCTGCAGCGTCAAGGACCCCCAGGCTGTGCTCCCCAAATATGTCCTCGTCAACTGGGTGAGTGTGGGGAGGTGTGTGCTGATGGGGGGCTGAGCTGTGCCCACAGGGACATGGGTATGAGGGAGCTGGCAGTGGCCAGTGGGGTGTGGGTGCCCCAGAGTCCTGCTGGCCCATTGTGGTCAGTGGGGTGGGGGTCACCCTGCTCCCCCTCTCAGCTCAGTCCCTCTCTGGCTGCCACAGGTGGGTGAGGACGTGCCGGACGCCCGCAAATGCGCCTGCGCCAGCCACGTAGCCAAGATTGCCGAGTTCTTCCAGGTGGGTGACACCGGGAGSGGGTCAATGCTTCCAGGGCACTGATCCTGAACCCTGACGGCTGCTTACACCCCCRCAGGGCGTCGATGTCATCGTCAATGCCAGCAGTGTGGAGGACATTGACCCAGGGGCCATCGGGCAGCGGCTGTCCAACGGGCTGGCCCGAGTGTCCAGCCCGGTGCTGCACCGCCTGCGGCTGCGCGAGGACGAGAACGCCGAGCCCGTGGTAATGTCCCCGCGGCAGTGACGGCAATGGTGGCGGGACTGGGGCGTCCCTCCCGCCCGGGGCTCCTGTCTGCCGCAGCCCCTCACCCCGTGTGCCGCTTACTGTTACCCCTCCTCGCTGATCCCAGCCCCTCCACCCCCCCTGCCTCTCCTCCGTCCCAGGGCACCACTTATCAGAAAACCGATGCCACCGTGGAGATGAAGCGGCTCAACCGGGAGCAGTTCTGGGAACAGGCCAAGGTGGGCTATGGGGGCRCAGCCAGTATTCCCCAGGCAGTGGGGTGAGCTGCTCCCCAGATGATGGGCAGCCCCCTCATTCACCCTCCCCACCAGAAAGAGGAGGAATTGCGTAAGGAGGAAGAGCGGAAAAAGGCCCTGGATGCCCGGCTGCGGTTTGAGCAGGAGCGGATGGAGCAGGAGCGGCTGGAGCAGGAGGAGCGGGAGCGGCGTTACCGGGAGCGYGAGGAGCAGATCGAGGAGCACAGGCACGGCTGGGCTGGGTGGGATGTGGCTATGGGGTGGCTGTGCAGGTGCTATGAGCGGCTGGCTGGGCACAGGGTGTCCCTCATAGGGTGGGGTTGGGGCAGGGATTGGCAGGAGCCGATGCCCAGCTCCTCTCCCGTTCCCCACGGCAGGAGGAAGCAGCAGAGCATGGAGGCAGAGGAGGCTCGGCAGCGCCTGAAGGAGCAGTCCATCTTTGTAAGAGCCACAGYGGGACTGGGGATGGGATCAGAGCTGGTGCTGGTGATGGCATTGCCCCCAGGGATGAGCTTTCAGGTGCCCAGGGCTGGGAGGTGATGATGTGTCTCTTCGCAGGGGGACCAGCAAGAGGAGGAYGACAGGCAGCAGTTCAGGAAATCGGAGTCAGAAGTGGAGGTGAGTGTGGCGATGGCTGTGCCCAGTGCTGCTCCTCACTCCCCATCCAGCTGTGCTCACAGCTGCATGGGGATGCAGCTGAGGGATGCATGGAGGGTGGGGCTCAGCCTCCCCCATCCCCACAGGAGGCTGCTGCCATCATCGCTCAGCGGCCCGACAACCCCCGGGACTTCTTCAAGCAGCAGGAGCGGGTGGCATCGGGCAGCAGCGATGCTGTCTCGCCGGGCAGCCACAGGACAGGTGAGGGGCTGTGGGGGGCTGTGGGCACAGGGGTGGGCACCAYGACACCAGGGCACAGGTGAGTGCAGTGTCACAGCTCAACAGGTCGCAGAGGGATATGGAAAGACCAATGTGGGGAGGGGGTGTCCCCTCTGCCATCATTGGCACTGCAGTTCTGGGTGCCAAGGGTACGAAGATGGCCRGGGACGTCCTGCTCTGCTGTGCCACCATCACTGCCACCATCACCGCCACTGCCACCTCACGTGGTCCCTGCAGCTGGAGCAGCTTTCAGGGGCTGGATGTTGGGGTGTCTTCAGCAGAAGGACGCTCATCCTGCTCCCTGCTGGGTGTTGTCCGCTCACCTGTCAGGGCACTGTGCCTACAGCCAGGCTGGCAGTGTGGTCACTGTGCAGGGATGGGCGAGTGGAAGTCCATGGGTGYCTTGGGAATGCATCCCATGGTGACAGCTAAAATGGGCAGGAGAGAGCGGGGCGCTCAGCGTGCTGCCAGCTGGCGAGGAGCGCCCCACGGAGAGGCTGGGCTGCCTCACAATCTGCGCTCCAGCGACTCTTTCTGTGGGTCTAGGGGAGGAGTGTCTGTCCTGCTGGGTGCCTCCAGCCACGGGGCCGTGTCAGGGTGCTGTGCCGTGGGGCTGTGCTGTGGGGCTGTGCTGGGAGGGGGCCTGTGGCGTGTGTTGTTGTGTGGTGTGCCATGGGTCGTGCCATGGGTTGTGCTGTGGGGCTGTGAAGTGGTGCTGTGCCTCGGGGCAGTGCTGTGGGGCAGTGCTGTGGGGCAGTGCTGTGGGCTGTGCCGTGGGTTCACGCTGTGGGGCTGCGCTGTGCCTGAGCAGATAGTTGGTCTCACGGCCGTGTCCTGGCCTCTCTCCCCACCTGGCCAGGCAGTGCTGCCTCACGTCCTTCTGTCCTGCTGCCTTTCCATCCTCTTGTCCTGCCATTCTCCCACCATGCTGCCTTCCACCCTGCTGTGCTCCCATCCCGGTGCCCTGGTGCTCCAGCCCCGCCATGACTGCGCTGAGCAGGGACTGACCCATCTCTTTGCTCTCTCTCTCTCTCTCTCTCTCTCTCTCCGTCCGTCCGTCCGTCTGTCTTTCTCTCACAGGTCGTCTGCACTGTCCTTTCATAAAGACAGCTGACAGTGGGCCGCCTTCTTCCTCCTCYTCCTCCTCCTCCCCCCCGCGGACCCCCTTCCCCTATATCTCCTGCCACCGCACTCCAAATCTCTCCTCTTTCTTCCCATGTAGGTAGCTGGGAGCTCCCGGGCGTGCAGCTCCGGGGGTCGAGCCGCGGGCAGCTGCCCCACAGCCCGCCCAGCCCCACGGCACACCGGACCGGCAGCGGAGGCAGCGCGGGCACCCCGAGGGGACGGGCACCCCGAGGGGACGGGCACCCAGGAGGGGACCATGCCCCTGCTGGGGCTGGCCCCGTGCTGGTCCCTGTGCCCCTGGGGAGGGGACACGGTGCAGGCTGTGCCCATGGGTCAGATGGGGACAGGGCAGGGCTGTGCCTGGGGAGGTGACGGTCCACACTGGGGTGGGATAGGCTGTGCCCAGGGGTAGAATGGGCACAGGGCAGGCTCTGCTYATGGGGCAGCAGTGGATAGGACAGTTGTGCCCCGGATCGCGCAGGACTGTGCCTGTGGGGCAGAGTGGGATGGAAAAGGCCGTGCCCAGGATCATGTGCCAATGGGGCAGAAGAGGGAGGGACATCTCTGCCTSGACCATGCAGATCTGCGCCCGTGGGGCAGCATCAGACAGTGCGGAAAAGGCTGTGCCCAGAATCATATTGGGCTGTGCCAATGGGGCAGAAGGGGATGGAACACCTGTGCTGTGCACCGTGCAGGACAGCTTGGAGTGGAAAAGGCTGTGCCCAGGAATGTGTGGGGCTGTGCCAATGGGGCAGAAGGTGGTGCCAGGGGCCACGCAGGGCTGTGCCCCCACAGGCGCAGGGGGCAGGGCACAGAGCTGTGCCCACAAAGGCTGTGCCAGGGCACAGCTGGGTGTTGCGTGGGCAGAGCCAGCGTGGGGCTGCTTGTCCCCGTGCCTGGCAGATGCGGGGGCCGAGACTTGTGGGGGCGGTGGGGCTGCCTGGAGGGGACGTGGTGGCTGCTGCACCCACGGGAGCCTCTGCCCCACCACCCAGGAGGGGATGGGCATGCAGCGATGCGCATCTGGCAGCTCACGGCCGGGTGGGTGTGAGGCAGGAGCAATGCCGGGGTGCTGGTCCTCCCCTCCATGTGGGCAGCCCCCCCACGCCACCCCGTCTCCCTTGTCCGCAGGCAGCCAGTCGGACGCCTTCCGCAAGGCCTCGGCAGCGGGCTGCAGCCCCTGCGAGTCCAGCCCGGCCGCCACGCCGCTGGCCGAACCGGGCACCCGCGCGCCCGCTGACCAGACGCCGGCAACGCCCAAAGGTGGGCGCAGGGCTGGCGCTGCCTCCCCCTGCCCGGGGCTGCCCCACTGTGGGCGCACCCCCAGTGCAGCCCCTCGGCTCTGCTGCGGCCCCGCCACCCGCGCTTGCATGGCTCAGCGCATCCGTGCTGGCTCAGTGCATCCGTGCTGCCCCCTCTGCATCCCTGGGCACATTCACCCATCTCTGCTGTGTCCCACAGCGCATCCCCCGCTGCAGCCCCCCTTGGCTCTGCTGCAGCCCCCCTTGCATGGCTCAGTGCATCCTTGGCTCGCCTGCATCCCCTGGTCTGTCCCAGCATCCCTGCTGTGCTGCCCAGCACATCCCTGCTGTCCCTGCTGCATCCCCCAGTGCAGCCCCGCCGTCATTGCTGCATCCCTACCGCCTCCAGTGCATTTTGTAACACCAGGGCATCCCTGCTGTGTCTGCTGCACCGCCCTCCATGCATCCCCCCATCTCCAGTGCATTCCACTGCTCTGAACATGCCAGCCGTCCCTGCTGCATCCCCCAGCGCAGCCCTGCTGTCTCTGCGGGGCCCCACAGTGCGATGTTGTCCCACCTGCGCCGTCCTGCTGGACATCCTTTCCAGGGCTGCTGTATCCCTCCGTGCACCCCCTCTGCCCCACTGCGTCCCCAGCGCACTCCAGACAGCCCTGCTGCAGTCCCAATGTGTCCCTGCTGTGTCCCCACTGGCCCCTTGGTATCCTCTGGTSCATCCCATCTTTCCCTTCTTCTCAGGGCACCTCTCCCGTTCCTCCACAGCCCTTTCTGCCTCCCAGCCACTCCCCAAGGGACCAATTTGCCCCTCCCCATGTCCCCTCACTCCCAGGTGCATGCCACAATTCCCTCCCCGCCCATCCCTGCAGCATTCCCCATACTGTGCCCACTCCAAAGGACTCCAGATCCCCCCGAGCTGCATCCCTGTCCCCGGGTGACCCCCGGCCCTAGATGAGGGTGTCTGTCCCCACTGATTGCTGTCCCCTCCTTGCAGAGTCCCCCAGCCCCAGCGCGCAGGAGCCCGGGCCAGCCACGCCCAAGCAGCACTGGCCCTTCCCGGGGCCGGAGGACAAGGCCATCGAGCCCCCAGTGGATGAGCCCAGCCCCAGGCCAGTGTGGACAGCGGGGGGTGATGCCCTGGGGGACCTGGTGACCCTGGAGCCCACCGAGCCCTCCCTGCCACCCGTGGCTGACGAGCCCCAAACTGGGGAGGCCCCCAACCCTGAGAGCCTCATCGACCTGTGGCAGAGTGACGGGGTGACCCCCCCCTCCGCCTGGCCCCTGCCTGCTGCCCCCGTCCCCGAGACCCCCCCGGCCGCGCTGCCCGAGGAGGGGGCCCTGCTGAGCCTGGACGAACTGCCCGAGCCCCCCGCCACCTTCTGCGAYGTGGAGCAGGAGGATGAGGATGAGGAAGAGGCAGTTGGCGAGGGCGATCCCCAGCTGCAGGATCTGGGCTGCCAGCACACGCCCCAGGATGACACCCCGGGCCGAGAAACGCCCCCCATCACCAATGGGGAGATGGCCCCCAAGGATGGGACACCGGGTCGTGGGGAGCAGGTGAGCATCGCTGCGGGGAGGGGTCGGGGGCGATGGGTGGCTGGGGGGTCCTGACAACCTGCCCCCACCCCCAGGCCAGCGAGGGCTACTTCAGCCAGTCCCAGGAGGAGGAGGTGCCCCCCCCCGAGGAGCTGTCGGCCAAAGCCCCCCAGCCCGTCTTCTACAACAAGCCCCCAGGTGAGTGAGGACAGCGAGGAGGGGGCGTCTGCCCCGCTCTGGGGCGCCCCAAGCCATCCTGACCACCCCTCTCCCTGTCCTCCAGAGATCGACATCACGTGCTGGGACGCAGACCCTCTGCCCGAGGAGGAGGAGACCTTTGGGGGGGCCCTGTAAGGCCAGGCCCCGCTGCCGGCACAGGCAGCCCGCCCCGGCCGGCGCGGGGCACGAGGGGGCTGCAGCCGGGGGCCGGCCCCCCCTCACCCCTCTGGGGCCCCGCAGGATGAGGCYTCCAGGTGGCGGCCGCCCCGCTGCAACCCCGCCCCGGGGCACCTTTTACAGCCCCCCCTTCTCCTCCTCTTTTTTAAGTTGTCGGTAGGAGCCGTGTCAGCCCCCAGCCCTCCCTTAGCAGCCCCCCCC